ACATTTATTATGTACTAGGCACTAGTATCAGTATTTTACACATATTAGCTCATTGAAATGCTCAGTGAAGTAGGTGCTGTTAATATCCCCATTTGACAGATGAGCAATCTGGGCAGAGAAGTATAGTGAGTGGTTGAAACAGAATTTGCACGGGACCTCTGGGTTAAGAACTCATTCAGTTGACCACCATATCCTGTCTTTACAGCTTGTCTTTCAAGAGTCACTGTGTTGGTGTTATCTTGGTATTGATGCCTCAGCGGTTAGGGCTTGTGTGTGTGCTCGGAGCGGTGATGCAGAAAACCAGCTCAGCCGCTTCAGGGGAAACTGACTTGGGGTAAGCAGGACCTGACATGGCTGTCAGGGGCTTTCATGGGACAGATGGACAATGGAAATGGGTCTCACAAATGGACAGGGTTAGAGAGACAAGGGTTAGGGTGTCTGAGAATTGCATGAGGCAATAAGGATAGGTCGTTCTTTGGGGCTCAGTGTTGTGGGGGGTATGCCTCCAAAAGGGCACCGTTAGTTGTCTTAATCTGGTGAAGTCAGGGACTGTCTGTAGTATATGGTCAGCACGGGCCTGGAAACATAGTAGATGCTCAATAACCATCCGCTGAAGCAATGAAAGAATGAATTCTCTTCTTGTTCTCAGCTGCCAGGCAGCTAATCCCTGCTCCGATGAGTTCACTGATAAAATGTCAGGTAAGAAAACCTTCTAGGAAGTCAAGTCTTAAGTCAGGGGGGATGTGGCACAAACCTTTCATATACTACAGGAACGAAATTTCCCTGGACTGAACCTGCACCCAGGTAAAACCATGTGGTCACGGGAAACCCTCACTGACTGCCAGAGATGAGAAATGCTATGATTAGGCTTCCCCAAAGTTCAGCAAAGGAGAGGTCGTGTCTTCTCCTGATAGCCTGCATAAGCTCTCCAAGTCTGTTTGGAGATGCCACCAACATGCCTGTTCGATTCCACATTTGTAGGAATGTGGGGTAGAGCCCCCTCAGCTGGGACGAGCCGATGTCAAGTTCAACATTCAGAAGGGAGGAGTATGTTTGGTTTTGATTTATAAACATCAATGAGTCAGCTTCACCAGATCCTTCTGCACAGATAATCGCACCTAAGAAATAAGGAGCAAGATATGGGAGTGTGGGATTTGGGATTGTGCAACTAATTTTAAGACCCAAAGGTTAATATCTCTTGGGACCCCTGTTTCCCACTGAGGATGGCTGGTGACAATTCCTGCCGCTACTCCCTTCCCAGCTTCCCCCAGTTCTACATTTTGCAAGTGAAACCATGCTTTGTCTTTCTTTCTTGAATGCTAGAACTTTAGAGGTCCAGTAGTTAAAAATATATATGAATGCAAATTGTTCTGGGCTTGGCCGTGCTTGTCCCTGCGTACAGTAAGAGAATCCCAGACAACCGCTTTGAGTTAGGCTGCACATCCTAACGACAACAGATCTGCCATATTGAAATAGCCCGGAGGAGGGAGGATGGCAGGGGTCTGCAAACCTGGTAGCAGCCCCAGACTAAGTCAGACTGAGAAGAATATGTAACCACCAGGCTTTGGGTTGGCAGAGCCCAGGTCGCCGCAAGGCCCACATGTATGAGTCAGCACTCAGGACTCGGATGGCTATACGCAGGGTAGACTAGGAGGAAAGGGGCAGAATGCAGCCCGCGGCCCAGGAGTTCGGTGATACCACTAAGCCACAGGCTCAGCAAATCTCACCTGTGCGCACGAGACAAGGTGAGGATCAAGCAAGAGGAGGGCGGAGCCTGGTGGAACCTAGCCAGCTGCCACGGCAGGAGCCAGCAGCAAACCGCAGCAGCCTAAGTCAAAGACGAGGTGAGTGAGGGTCAGGAACTCAGACAGATGTCTAGGCAGGGAAAGAGGAACAAAAGAACAGGTCCTAAATGACTTCTTTGAGGGTGGAGCTTGGCAAGACGCCAAGTTGGGTCTGAGTCTGGAGCCCCTTACAGGTTTCTTGCTGCAGGGCAGAGCTGGTCTGTCGGTGTAGTCCGCAGGTGTTGAAAAAGCCAGCACACCTGGCTAACGTGGGGGTGTTGACAGGGTGTGGGAATGAGACACTCGGTGGCAGGGAAATTAGCCTGAGTGATAGCTCATATGACCTCACGTCTTGCTAATCAGTTAGAAGCCCTTAGAAGTTCATTATTATTTTTCCATTTTCACATCCAGCTTTAATGCATGATAAGACATACATTCGTTATGGAAAGATTAGAAAATTCTGGCAGCAAAAAGAAAAAAGTAAAATCCCAATAAAATTCCATCGCCTAGATTTTTAACATTTTGGTATATATTTTATACACTGATCTACTATGTTCTTAGGGATCCCCAAACTTCACATGTGCCTCCCCCACTCCATTTAGTTTGGCACACTTTTCTGAATATATTTTTAAAAGATTCTCTGTTCAGACAGCACAGCTTCTCCACAGTAACCTTAATACGTTGTGTTTCATGGCCTCTTATTAAGTAGATGTTTTAAAAGGCATTATTCTTTAATGGCTTCTTTATAGAGTTTCTGTGAAATTCACAACCTGTCAGAACAGAGTGGCTTCCAACCAGTTCAGAGCCCCGCTGGGCGACATACTGAGCACTCTTTCTAAAGGCAATAAAACTAATTCTAGGAAGGAAGAGACAGAAATGGAGAGACGTTGGAGTTGTAAGCAGCACAGAAACAGGAGTCAACAGTACAGTCAAAAGGTGAGAAAAGATGAGGTTAGGAAAAAAGAGTGACCATGAAAGGGAAGAGTGGATCAAAGGAAGGCGTTTTGGGTGTTTATCTCTTTCTTGTCCTCCATGGACAGCCTGGTGTAATGCAATGGGCTCTGCTTTTTTTTTTTTTTTTTTAATATTTTATTTATTTACTTGAGAGAGAAAGAGAGAGCACGTGGTCGGGGGGAGGGATAGAGGGAGAGGGAAAAGCAGACTCCCCACTGAGCAGGGAGCTGGATGTGGGATTCGATCCCAGGACCTGGAGATCATGACCTGAGCCGAAGGCAGACACTTAACCAACTGGGTCACCCAGGTGCCCCCAACCCCAGTTTTGCTTTTAACCTGTTGAAAGCCCTTGGGCGAGTCTCTTCCTTGCTCCAGATCCAAATCTCCTCACTTAGAAAACGAAGAGGCCAGACTACATGACATCTGATGGTCTCTCTTGTGTCCTGAGTGTCCCGTATTGCTAGATACATACAGAATGTTTTATCGAATTCAGATTTAAAGAAAACTCCTGCTAGCGTTTGGAATCTGGTTGTGCATCACGCACACCACATGGGTTTAGTGCTAAAGCATTACATGGAAACAAACAATTATCATTGTTTTAATTACCCGGAGTAGCTAGCAATTTCGACAAGACTTGGGAGCTCTGTCTTGAGAATGCTATTATTACCCTGTCACTTTTCAACAGGCTTTCCAATATAGGCATGGTAATAACAGTGTCCCAGGAGTGGGGGCAAGATTGCTATTAGAGTGGTACTCTTGTTTTTTTTTTTTTCTTTTTTTTTTTTCCTTTAGTATGAAAGCTAACTCTGAGCAATGAGACACCATCCAGCAAAGAGTGTGAATCAGTTGCAACCTGTCTAGATCATTGCCAGGCCTCCGTAAGGCCTCAGGCAACGACACCAACCATTTTCTGGAGCTTCAAAAAGGTGTCTGCCAGAAAGTATCTATCAGGTACTAGACTAGCTCTCTGTCTCCAGAGTTCTCTCCCGAACTTGGTTTGGTCAGTATCAATACAGCCGGTAAAGAGGGCGGCAGTCAGGCGGCCACTCACTTTGGTTCTCCTTGATTCTCCCGGACCGCTCCCTGCCGGGGCAGCCACGTGGGCTGGAAATCTTTCTGAGCACTTAATCTTAAACAACGTTAAGCGCCCATCTATCACACACGCAGTACTCTGAACTGCCTTGTGTTTTCAGAAATAAAATAAAAACCAGTTGTAGCTTGGTGTGAATGTCACACATGCACAAGCAAATACAAGGGGCATTCTCTCCGTTTAGCCCCACCAGGAAATCTTAAGTACCCAGTTAAACTGTGCTTCCCTCCAGGGTTTATGGCTGAGCCCCTGAAAGGCCTTGGTTGACTTCCTACTTATTCTTTGCTCTTTGATGTGTCTAACTGCACCTTGCTCTCCACCAGATGCCTGCAGAGAGGGCTCCGTTTTAGAATGAATGGCTGCTACCTGGAAATCAGCCTCTCAGTGGTTCTTTCTTTTTACCAGGAGTTCAACCCCCCACAGAAGGGTTACAGCGTAGCCAATCATTTCTTCTGCCTTGCCCCGAAGGAGCTCCATTTCCTAGGTTCCTGGGGAATTTACCCAGTGCATACTCTGAAATCATGTTCAATTTCTTTCTTAGAAAACTGGTTGCGTCTGACTCCATGGGTAAATGTGTGAGACATGGGCTTATTTATTTTATTATTTATTTATTTTTTTTGCAACCTCAGGTTATTTGCATTTTTAAAAAAGGTTCTATTTATTTGACAGAGAGATAGACCCAGAGATCATGACCCGAGTGGAAGGCAGAAGCTTAACTGACAGAGCCACCCAGTCACCCCAGGATATTTTCATTTTTAATGAAAAGTGAAACAGCCTTTTAAAAGGGGCCATCCCAGGGTTTAATCCCTAAGGGGTTCTGAGATTTTTTTGGATGTAGCCTGTGCTTGACAGGGAAACAAAAAGACTTGCCTCTGGAGGGACCCACACTCTCTGTAAATGAGATGTATGCCTGTTGCTGTTTATAAACAAAGAGCTAGACTGAGGTGAAGGAAGGTAGACCAAGAGGCAGAACAAGATTTTCCATCATTGAAATTAAACCAGCATCACTGAAAACATTCTATCCCTGGATCTGTACCAAATGGTACCCAAATCCAGAAGTATCTCCAGACTATTCTACTCAGTACAAATCAGATACTCTTACTAGAGTGCCTTTGTGGTTCTGGGTTCTGAAATGCCATTCGGAGTTCGGTACATGAAGAGGAAAAGGAGAGATGGAAATTAGCCATCAGGTTGGCCAGAAGGGACTAGCTCCCAGTCGTCTACATAAAGATGCCAAGTGGCAATGGGCTTATACTATCCTGGACAGACCTGATTCTCAGCCAGTTCCAGAGCGGGTGATTGGGGTAAGTTGCAAATGGGATAATACACAAGAAAGCTCTCAGGCGCACCATAAAACACCAGAAAAAAATTTCCAAGTGGGTGACTTTAGAAGGAACTAGTGAGAACATCAGAAACAATGTCAAGGTCACCTGGGTGGCTCAGTGGGTTAAGCATCTGCCTTTGGCTCTGGTCATGATGCCAGGGTCCTGGGATCGAGCTTCGCATTAGGCTCCCTGCTCAGCGAGGAGCCTGCTTCTCCCTTTGCCTCTGTGTGCTGCTCCCTCTGCTTGTGCTCTCTCTGTCAAATAAAGAAGTAAAATCTTTTAAAAGAGAGAGAGAGAGAGAGAGACGGAGTGTCAAGAAGATATTTTGTAAGTGTACATCGGCGAAAGCTTTGGTATGACAAACCATGATTTTCTTTCCAGACTGACGCACAGGGTAGGGAGTGTCCAAGGAGGGGCTCAAGTATGTGCAGACATTGGTGAGGAATGTTCCAAGCATCCCCACTCTCAGATAGGTGGGTCTAGAAAGAATTCAGTGGCAAGGAGTGGTGGGAAGTGAGGGAGGCAAGCTGCCGCGGGGTAGCCCCTTGTCGTACATGTGGTTGGTGGGGCAACCGGCAAAGAAATAGATGTTGGGAATGAGCAGGGTGATGCGGAAGGGCGAATAAAAGGCAGCAGAAGCTCGGCCATGGTTGATGCAAACTCTGGCCCTGGCCGAGAGCAAAAGGGGGGCAAGTGAAGGGAACACCAGGACCTCCAGGCCTCTGACTCTCCCTTAACTCCCCAGCCCCACTGCACTGGCCGCGGACACGTGTCTCATACCTCACCTCCTTGTCTGCCAATGTCCAGGCCACCATCTATCTTCTCTCACCCAAGCTGTGGAAGGAGCCCCCACCCCGGCTCCACCTGTTGCCTCTTTTGCCCCCCACTCCCTCTGTTCCTTACACTCTCATCCTGCAAGGTGTTGGTAACAGAGCAGCAGAAGGATCAGTCTCACCTGGGAAATTGTGAGAAATGCAGATTCTCAGGCCCCTCCTCCCACCCATCAAATCGCAATCTGTATTTTAACAAGATCCCCAGGTGATTCATATGCACTTTACAGTTTGGGAGCCTCTGCCCTAACCACTGTCCAGACGGTGCTCCGGAAACCCAGCTCTGACCATGTCAATTTCCACTTAAAGTCATTCAGCGATCCCCACCTCGAGCTTTGCCTTCCAGCTTATGGCCTCCCCTGGTACAAAAGGCCCGTCTTGGGAAAGCTCCCACCCATTTTCCAGTCCCCGTGTCTCAACTTTTCCCTTCGGAACACCTCACTGCTAACAGTTTCATTCACACCGGGCTTTCTAGGCTCTGCCTCTGACATCCTTCTCTTATCCTCCTCTTCACCTGGCTAACTCCAATTCTTGCTTTCTGTCTTGGATTAGGTGTCCACTCCAGTCGGGATCCATTGCGCTATGCCCTTTCCCATCTTTCTGGGTTAGGGGCCCATTGGATGTGATCTTTTATTATTTTATTATTATTATTATTTTATTATTTATTATTATTACTTATTATTTATTTTAACTATTTTATTATTTTTTTATTATTATTGCTTACATGCTGCCACAAGGGCACTTGGACCCAGCTATTGCGATTACCTGTTGAAGGGCCTGACTGGCCTGCCAGCCTGTTCTGTGTTCCTTCTTGGTAATGCCTGTGTCCAGTTCACCCCAGAATCCCTGGAGCCCCAGAAAGTACCCGGCACAGAGCAGGTGCTCAATAATGTGTATTGCATTGACAAGACGGGAGAAAGGTCACAAAAGAATAAAGGCATATGTAGAAGGACCAAGGCAAGGGCATGAGAAGTAAGCCCGGAGCTGGGACCAGGGGAAGGGGGAATGATTACAATAGAGAAAAAGAACTGGGTAGAGACTAAAGAATGGAGAAAAACATGCTAAAGGGAGGTGAGGGATTAGCTTTTAGAGGGTTTATTAAGGAGAAGGCTAAGACTGATGAAGGCATTCTCTTCCTGTTTTTGTTTTGTTTTGTTTTGTTTTGTTTTGTTTTGTTTTGCGGGGCTGTTCTGTGGAGTCAGAGGGTTAACAGGCCCCAAAGGCAACTCATTCACTTGCCAACGAAGGTCTGACCCACTGGCACTGGCTTCTATGACACCTACAGTTACTTGGGTGGTCCTTAATATTCCAGATCTTGAATATTCAGATCAGTGCCACCCTCATCAAACCAGACCCCCTTGGGGGGCGCCTGGGTGGGTCAGTTGGCTAAGCGACTGCCTTCTGCTCAGGTCATGATCTCAAGGTCCTAGGAGTGAGTCCCGCATCGGGCTCCCTGCTCAGCGGGGAGTCCGCCTCTCCCTCTGACCCTCTCCCCTCTCACGCTCGCTCGCTCTTTCTCTCTCTCTCTTCCAAGTAAATAAATAAAATCTTTAAAAAAAAAAACCAGACCCCTTGGGTGATCTAGGTGCTAACAGCTAGGTGACCATCCACCAGGCTTCGTCCAGGACGGTCCTGGTTTGCAGCTGTTGTGACAATATAACAATTAGTAGCCCCGTCAACCCTTGAGAGTGTGCCAGTTTGGACGATGGTCCTCTGACAGTTAACACTTCTTTTTGAGCTCTTCCTACGGCCCTGACACCGTGTAAAGCACTCAACGTCAGTGTTCTCATGAAATGCTATGAATCTTTAAAAACTGAGACGCAATTCACATGCCATAAGAGTCATCCTTTTAAAGTGTATGATTCGGTGGTTTTTAGTAGACTCACTGTGTCGTGCAAATATCACAACTACCTAATTCCGGAGTATTTTCATCCTTCCCAAAAGATACCCCATACTAATAAGCAGTCATTCCCCATTCCACCCCCCCCCACCCCAGTCTCTATGGATTTGCCTCTTCTGGACATTTCCTATAAATGGAATCATAGAACATATGGCCTTCTGTGTTTGGCTTCTGACAATCCTATTTTACAATTAAGGAAATTGAAATTCAGAGAGATGAAATAGCCTGTCCGAGATCATCCCTCCATCAGGTAGAGGGCAGAGCTAGGGCTGGCCACTCCAGGGCCCACATTCTTAGCCACCTCCTCATATTTATTACAGGTACTCAGCCCAGTCTTGGAACTCTGTTTTGGCCTTCTGTAACCGGGCACATTCTTTCCCAAATGCCTCATAAATCTTCGTTATTTGAGAGTGGATTTAATGTTTGGAAAGAGCCAAAGTCATAAAGAGCAGATATGGTACCTAAAGTGGGCCATCCAGCTGGGTCAATGCTGTGGACAGAATCGTGTCCCACCCAAATTTGTCTGTTGAGTCCCTAACTGCAATGGGACTACTGTGGTCCTGTTTGGAGACACGACTTTTTGGAAGTAATTAAGGTTAAATAGGATCATAAGGGTGGGGCCCAGATCCAATGGGTCTGGTGGCCAAAGGAGAAGGAGGAGGGGGGGGAAGGGGAAGGAAGGGGAGGAGGAGGGGAAGGAAGAGGAGGGGAGGAGGAGGGAGGAGGAAGAGGGGGTCGGGGAGGGGGGGGGGGAAGGGTAGGGGGGGGGGGGGGGGGGGGGGGGGGGCGGGGGGAGAGTTACCTTTCCCCTAGGTGAGGACACAGCAAGAAGGCGGCCATCTGCAAGCCAGGAAGAGAGGTCTCCCAGAACCCCTACCATGCTGGTACTCTGATCTCAAACTTCTAGCCTTCAAAACTAAATGAGAAATAAATGTTTGTTGTTTAAGCCATCCAGTCTGTGGTGTTTTGTGATGGCAGCCAGATCTAATCCAGTCATATTTTGGGATAAAAGTAAGACATAACCATAAAGTCAGGAGAATGAGTGATAACCATCTGTGACTTCAGGAACAATTTCCTGCGGGGAACATGAGAAATATTTTGAATGTGGGAATCAGCCCTGGAAACAGGAAAAGCATCTTCTATGAGACTTTTTGTATGGCACTACACTTTTAAATTTTATGCTGTCTATTGCATCTTTCTGAAAAATGTAACAACTATAAGGAAAACGTGAAAATAATTGATTATGCTATTGTTAAAAATATGCTGTATTCGGTTCCAGTTCATTCTTTTCCGAAACCTTAATGACAGTGTATATTTTTTTAAAGTACACATTCAAGATGTAAAAACATTAGACTCTACTTTACCTAATGTGGTCAAAGGTGGTTGTTGGTCAGTTAATCAATAAAATTTGTTAAAGCAGAAAATCATAAGTACACACACACAGACACCTTAAACTTCTATTTTTTAAAGATTTTATTTTTTTTTAAAGTAATCTCCACATGCAACAGGGGACTTAAACCCACAACCCTGAGATCAAGAGTCTCATACTCTGCCAATCGAGCCGCCAGGTGCCCCTTAAACTTCTAATTTTGACATAAAACATATACATCATTATTCATTTGCCAATCTTTTGCTATAGGGTCAAAGCTTTTTTGAGTAAGGACTTCTGATTCCTTTTGTCTTTCTTCCATACACCACACCCATAATGCATCCTCTATGATTTCCAGCATTTGCTTACTTAATGTGGAGAAAGAATGTGGATATTTGCAAAGCATTTTGAGTACAGAATCTTTCCAGTGTTTTCTTCCCCCGTATTTTACTGCTATCATATCTAAAGCTAATTTGACAGTGCAGTTTTGGGGATTCCCCTCTATTGAGTTTTTGCAAAGTGAAGAACTTAGTTTTTATAGAAATAATGCTTGCTTTTAGAAAACAATTTAATGGGCGCCTGGGTGGCTCAGTGGGTTAAGCCGCTGCCTTCGGCTCAGGTCATGATCTCAGGGTCCTGGGATCGAGTCCCGCATCGGGCTCTCTGCTTGGCAGGGAGCCTGCTTCCCTCTCTCTCTCTCTCTGCCTGCCTCTCCGTCTACTTGTGATCTCTCTCTGTCAAATAAATAAATAAAAATCTTTAAAAAAAAAAAGAAAAGAAAACAATTTAATGATTCTCTGGGTCCATGCGGTGTGATTACATTAACAAGTAGAATTATCAAAAATGCTTCCAAGAAAACAATTATTATTGAGCATGGAACTCAACTGATGGGTGTAGAACCTTTAGAGTAGCCTACTGGTCATGGGCTTTCATCATGACATAGGGTTCTGTCAGTGGTTTTTTTTTTTTTTTTTTTTTTTTATTTAAGTTTTATTTTTTTTAAACATATAATATCTTTTTATCCCCAGGGGTACAGGTCTGTGAATCGCCAGGTTTACACACTTCACAGCACTCACCATAGCACATACCCTCCCCAATGTCCATAATCCCACCCCCCTAACCCCCTCCCCCCATTAACCCTCAGTTTGTTTTGTGAGATTAAGAGTCACTTATGGTTTGTCTCCCTCCCAATCCCATCTTGTTTCATTTATTCTTCTCCTACCCCCTTAACCCCCCATGTTGCATCTCCACTTCCTCATATCAGGGAGATCATATGATAGTTGTCTTTCTCCGATTGACT